AATTTCTGTACCTAAAAACTAATGTTAGACCTACCTAAAAAAACCTGAAAATCACTGTTTAATTTATTTGTATCTTTACACTATTGTATTTATTTGTGCTGTTGCTTGTAGTTAGATTATTCTTATTTTCTTTATTTTAATTTGACAGTATAGTTTTTGCCTAAACATAGCACATACCTAAACCGTGACCCTAAAACCGTGATACAAACCGAACCGTGAGTAAGTTGAACCGTTCCACCCCTACTTGCAGTGTTTTCATTGCCTCAATATATGAAGACATGAACACATGAACTTCATCTCCAGAGCTGCTCTTAGACATTTTTACAAGCTTCAAATGCTTTTCACCATTTCATTTGAGAAAAACTACCACCAAATACACAATGAATCTCAAAGATCTTCAGGACAAATGGCCAAAATAAAAGTTTGGTTTAACCTGAAGAAATTATCACAGAAGTATAGCACTATAAAAAAATATTTCTACATTTTTTTTTTTTGTTGTAAATTTAATTATTTTCATTTGATTATATTTTAACATATGAAGAATTTGGACATTAGGGCGACACTTGAACTCTTCATTATGTTTCTTCAAACCATTCCTGAACAATGTGTGTAGTGTAGCAGGAAGCAACATCCTGCTAAAAGAGGCCACTGCCATCAGGGAATACCATTGCCATGAAGAGTGTACCTAGTTTGCAATGAGGTTTAGGTAGGTGGCATATGTCAAACTGATGTCCACATGAATGGCTAGAAACAGGGTTTCCCAGCAGAACATTGCCCAGAGCATCACAGTCCTTTGAAAAGCTTGTCATGTTCCCGCATTGTGCCCTGGTGCCATTACATCCCCATGTTAATGACGTGATGTAAAATAAAACTGAACTCATCAGACCAGACAACCTGCTTCCACTGCCCCAAGATCCAGTTTGTGGTTTGCTCTTCTTCAGACCACAAATGCTGACCAGGAGCAGCCTACAAGCCTTGCTCTTTCAGTGATGCTCTGACAGTTGTCTGGCCACAACATTTTGGCTCTTGTCAAATCATTTAAATCTTTATTCTCACCCATTTCTCCTGCACCAATACATTGACTACATGAACCTGTTGGTTATTTACCATATAAATTACCCAGACCTTCACATGACCTTGTCAGGAGATTATTAACAATATTCACTTCACCTATGCATGTTCATAATGTTTTGGCTCATCAGTGTGTGTGTGTGTGTGTGTGTGTGTGTGAGAGAACATAGAAACAGCAGAATGTCACACATTAATGTACCTGAATAAGTTTAGATTAATCTAAAATAATTATTGTGTAAATAAGCCATTGTTTTTTCAATTCTGTTTAGTTGCTGTAGTTTCTCCCAGTACTACAGATTATTTTTTTTAAATAAATGTTTCATTATAAACAATGAAATATTGTATGTGGTGGGTTGTTCATTGTCATTTCCTGCCCGTTTTAATGTTTACCAAAAAAAATAATGTAATTTATCTTCTATATCAAACATATTAAAAAAAAGCTTTAAGATGTTTGATCATTTAACTACAGCATCTGTGTCACTCATTTGTCTCCTGCAGAATAGTGGAGGTTGCTGCGTGTCACACCAGTCACACATCAGCGGCGAAAACACAGAGCGGTCAGGTGCTGATGTGGGGTCAGTGTCGGGGTCAGGCAGTGGCCTACCCTCACCTCACACACTTCACCAGCACTGACGATGTCTTCGCCTGCTTTGCCACACCGGCAGTCACCTGGCATCTTCTGTCTGTGGGTAAGATCTTTATTCCACAAGCATTTTTCTGGACACTTTTTCCATCAGCCTTGGTTTCTGAAGTATATTTTCATTTAATTTACTCCATAATCATTTCAGAAAGTTCTTCGATAAAGTGTCTGTAAGTCTTGGACCAAACCAACCAGCAAACAGTGGAAAAAAAAAAACAAGACTTCATAGACACTGAATTAAAACAAGTGGGCAAATTAGTACAATGGGCTACAATTTGCTGGAAAAAAGGAAAGAATTAATTAAAGGGGTGGTTGCGATTTCACTTTTTTAATGTTACGTTAAAAAAGTAGCAGGTGTGTGCCATTTATGCAGAAAGAACCCTAGCCTGCAAGGCACGGATGTCCAGGTTATAAAACCTAGCAAATGTGGAAAGAGAGGCCTAACCGGTCGCTGCACAAATTTCCACAATGGACATGCCACTAGACAATGCCCAAGAAGAGGCAACGCCTCTAGTTGAATGGGCTCGTACTCCAATGGGGCATTGCAGGCCCAAGGAAGAGTAGGCTAGCATAATAGCGTCAATTATCCACTTAGAAAGTCTCTGCTTCGTGACTGGATGCCCTTTAGCTCGGCCACCGAAGCAAACAAAGAACTGTTCAGACTGCTTAAACGGGGTGGAACGCTCGATGTAAACTTTCAGTGCCCTGATGGGGCAGAGTAAATTCAACCCCTGGTCCTCTTCTGAGGGAGGAAGCGCAGAGAGTGTAATGACCTGTGCACTGAATGGAGTAGAGAGCACCTTAGGTATAAAACCATGCCTCGGTTTCAGGACGACCTTAGAGTCACCAGGCCCGAACTCCAGGCAGGTAGGGCTCACAGAGTGCGCCTGTAAGTCTTCCGTTCGTTTGACCGATGCTAATGCTAGTAGCAGAGTGGTTTTTAATGACAGGGACCAAAGGTCAACAGACTGCAGCGGCTCAAAGGGAGGACCCTTCAGGGCCCTCAGAACAGTGGGCAGGGACAGTGAGGGGACGGGGTGGATTCAGCCTCCTAGCCCCCCTCAGAAACCGGACAACAAAGTTGAGAGTGTAATGACCTGTGCACTGAATGGAGTAGAGAGCACCTTAGGTATAAAACCATGCCTCGGTTTCAGGACGACCTTAGAGTCACCAGGCCCGAACTCCAGGCAGGTAGGGCTCACAGAGTGCGCCTGTAAGTCTTCCGTTCGTTTGACCGATGCTAATGCTAGTAGCAGAGTGGTTTTTAATGACAGGGACCAAAGGTCAACAGACTGCAGCGGCTCAAAGGGAGGACCCTTCAGGGCCCTCAGAACAGTGGGCAGGGACAGTGAGGGGACGGGGTGGATTCAGCCTCCTAGCCCCCCTCAGAAAACGGACAACAAAGTTTCTTTCTGCCCACCGACTGGCCTGCTATAGGGGCATGAGAAGCCGTTATAGCTGCTACATAGACCTTGAGCGTGGATGGGGTGCGCCCCTTATCCAACAGCTCCTACTGGAAGGACAATATCACGGATACGTCACAGACGGACGGGTCCTCGCCGCGGGTTAAGCACCAGACAGAGAACACCGACCACTTAAGGGCGTAGAGGCGTCTTGTAGACGGAGCTCTAGCCTGAAGAGGTCCATTTCTGCCTTGCCAAAGATCTACCAAATTTTTTTAACTGTCTGTAGATGAAGCATCCACTCTTCTGAGGGGACTTTGCTTCATGACAACATGTCCGCTCTTTGGTTCATTTTGCCCGGAACGTGCGCTGCTCTCAGAAAGTGCAGGTTGAGCTGAGCACATTCCGGGAGGCGTTCTACCAGCACAAAGAGGCGCCTTAAGGAAAGCCCTACCTGGCGATTTATTTAGGACACCACAGTTATGCTGTCCGAGCGGACCAGAACGTAGTGTCCCCTCAGGTCCGGTAGGAAGGTTTGACAGGCCCGACTTACCGCCAGCATTTCGAGGCAGTTGATGTGATGAAGACCGTCCTCCGCTTTTGACCAGTGGCCGAAAGCCGATTTTCCTTCGCACAGCGCCCCCCACCCTGTGTTGGAAGCATCTGTCGAAACCACCTTTCTCCTGCAGACCATTCCCAGGGGGACGCCCTGTTCCATCCACTGAGCATTCTTCCAAGGGGTCAGGGCTGTTACATAGGCCTGGTCTACCCTTATAAGCAGGTGTCCGTGATGCCACGCATGGAATGAAACCCTCGGTTTCAGCCAGTACTAAAGGGGACGCATACGAAGCAGGCCCAACTGTAGCACTGGAGACGCTGCGGCCATAAAGCCCAGCATCTTTTGAAATGCCTTGAGGGGGCGAGAGGCACCGGTCTTGAAGGAAGCCACAAGCTGCTGTATGACCAGAGCACGCTCTGTCACGACCACCGCTCTCATTTGGGTTAAGTCAAGCACTGTCATTGGCTGGGGGACAGTGCACTCTTGGCGAAATTGACCCTGAGCCCCAGGCATTCTAAGTGGCTGAGGAGGAGGACTCTGTGAGAGTGACTTTGCCTCCGACTGGGCCAGAACGAGCCAGTCGTCGAGGTAATTGAGAATGTGGATTCCCTTCTGCCTCAGGGGAAAGAGCCGCATCCATGCACTTCATGAAAGTGCGTGGAGCCAGGGACAGTCCAAAGGGAAGGACCGTGTACTGATAAGCCACTCCCTCGAAGGCGAATCTCAAGAATCGCCTGTGGTGGGGGGGCTATATGGATGTGAAAGTAGGCATCTTTCAAGTCCAGAGAAAAGAACCAGTCCTCTAGGCAAATTTGTGAGAGGATCTGCTTCAGTGTAGTCATCCCGAATGGCCGTTTTATGAGGGCGCAATTCAGGTGTCTGAGATCGAGGATGGGCCGCCATCCTTCTCTGGGACGAGGAAGTAATGGCTGTAGAAGCCTAACTTGCTCTGAGCTGGAGGAACCATCTCTATGGCTCCCTTTGCCAGCAGATTTTTTTGCCGCTGAAACGTGAGGGTCTCCGAGCGAATTGAAGTGAATAGCCTCGCTTTATTATCCCCAGAACCCACTCTGACACTCCGGGGATGGCTTGCCATGCCTCGGCCCGGGAAGTCAGGGGTTGGATTGGTTAGAGTGCCTGGAGTACGACACGGTACTCGTGAGAAATGGAAGAGGAAATCTGTTGTCTTTTTGAAAATGTTTGTTTTAATCTGCCCGCTATAACAACGGATCGCAGCTTGGGCGCTTGAATGGGCCCAGAGTTTGCAGCAAACACATCGCTGACTGCACCCAGAACTGGACGGCAGCTTAAGAGAGGCAGCTTGGGTGGTGGTCTGGCTACAGCGGCAGGCGCAGGAGCAGGCTTCGTGGGCTGTTGAGTCAGCGCAGACTTGGGGCGACTAGAGGCAGCTGCAGAGCTAGAGCGTTTTGGCAGGAAGTGTCACATGGCTTGGGACGACTTTTGTGCCTCCATGAAACGCTCAGCGAAGCCTTCGACCGCTGGCCCGAACAGACCGGTGGGGGAGACCGGAGCATCAAGGAAGGGAACCTTGTCTGCATCCTTGATTTCCGTCAGGGCCAGGTCCGTCGCGCTTCTCAGCTTCCTGAGCGTCGCTGGGTCTGGGCCAGACTCGTCCATGCTGGTGAGGAGTTTGGCCTGGAAGACCTGGAGGACCACCATTGAATGGAGCGCCGAGGCCGCTTGCCCAGCCAAGGAGTAGGTGCGTCCAGCGAGGGCAGAAGTCGTCCTACAGTGCTTGGATAGATGGGCGACCTTTGCCTTCCAGCCGAGAGCAGTAGGCGGGCAGAGATGCGTGGCCACTGACTCGTCCAGCGGAGGCAGCTTCTCGTACCCCTTATCTTCAGCGGCGTCCACCGAAGTGAGGGTGGATGAAGCGGAAGTACGGAGACATGCAGAGTATGGGGCGCGCCACGACCTGGTGAGCTCGTCATGGACCTCCGGGAAAAAAGGAGAGGATCGATGACGAGGGGCTTGACGTCGCCCTGGCATGAACCACTCGTCCAGACCGGCTGCGGGAGGGCTCCTCCGGTGGAGACCACTCCAATCCCAGCTCCTTGACGGCTTTCGAGAGGACACAGTAATTCGGCGTCCATCCCGAGCGTAACGTTGCTGGGCTCGGACGATGCCAGAGGGGCGGGGTTGGCAGTCGAGCCCGACAGCTCCTCCGCGTCCGAGGCTGCTAATGACATGCTGTCATCCAGCAGCTCGTCATCACTCCCACCGAACGAGACCAGATCGCTCGCTCTGGCAGAGGGCCGCTGGGTGAAGAGGATGGGGGAAGCCTCTCTGTGTGGAGAGAGCGAGGCACACGGGACTTGAGCCGACGTGAGCTCGCTCTCATCCGAGCGCTACGATCCTCTGCCCCGCTCTTTTTTTCCTCACAGGCTCCTGGGAGGAAGAAAATGGGAGGGCGTGAGGGGCGGAGTTTCTTTCTGAAAAGAAAGCTATCCGCGAGCGCAGAGAGGCGAGACTCATGTTCTCACAGTGGAAACAATCTGTCTCGGTGAGCGCGGATTCCGCGTGGGATTTCCCCAAGCAGGAAAGGCACTCACAGTGGCTGTCATTGGTGTGCAGGGGAGACCTGCATGTTCAGCAATAACGGCACGGCATTTGAAACAACGCCGCAAAAATGTGCTCTTAGAAATGTGCTTGTGACGAGTGGGGGCGGGGCCGAGAGCCGTGGGAATGGAGCGAGCAATTACTGGTGGAGTAATTGATAATGAGCGACACCTGCACCACTCACCGGTCTCGAGTCCCACGGAGGAGCTCCGGAAGGATAAAAGGAGGAGTGACGACAGTGAAAGACGAGAGAGGACCAGGCCTGGATTTTATTTTGTGTTTTGTGTGCGGCAGTCGTCCGCGAGGGGCTGCCGCTTTACTTTCATTTTGTGTTTGTTTATTTTATTAAAGTTTTCTTTAAATGTTCGCCGGTTCCCGCCTCCTTTTTCCCGACCTGCAAACGTTGTTACAGTGCTCTTTATAAGGCTCGCCGGATGGCGGCAGGGGAAGCTGGACCAATGCTGTGCAGCGCTGAAGGCGGCGGGAAATGCGGCGAATCAGCCGAGCAGAGAGGTCGCTATTCCACTGCGAGGCGTGTCAATGGCGAGCAGGCTCTTCAGTCAGCAGAGATCAGCGTAGAACGCCGTCATCACTGAAGGAGAAGAAATCTGAATCCTATGGGCGAAGTGCCCGCTTATATAGCCAGATGGCCCCGCCCATTCTGGCGGGCTTCGTTGGCCATAGGTTCGTGCAGCACAGCTGCCGAGCCACTGGTTCGTTTTTAAAGTGTACTGCACTAACCAATGGCAGTGCAGTTACACTGAGTTATTGAAAAAGGCTTCAGTTCAGGAGAAAAAATGACTTTTTCCCATAGCGTCTTAGCAGACGCAGTACGAATGAAGTATCGATAGGGAAATCAAGAATCTGTGATTTTTTTTTTTTCATTCTCTTTAACTTTTATTTAATTGACAAAAGTACAAAGAAAAGATTTTTTAAGTTTTCACTGACCAACTTAAATGTATTTTGTAAATTAGTGCTGTCAATTGATAAAAAAAAACAAAAAACAAATTAATCGCACATTTTTTTCTGAGATTAATCGCGATTAATCCCACCTAACATTAAAGTTTTTAAATATACTTTTATATTGCAGTAATTTCACATTAAATCTTCAGATTAATGTACAAACAACATAAAGACAGTATATTTTAAATATTTGTTTAATGGCATCTTTTTTTTAATGACTGAAAGCCAGTATCACTGATACCAATACTACTGATGTCTCTATGAAATTTTCGGGGGGGAAGGGTTCATGGGTCCTCATATGGCTTGTTAACTGAGGGGGGTTACAGAGTATTTGTTAAATATAAAAACAAAATATATATTGTGTGTTTGAGTGGTCCAGACGCTACAGATGTCTCTATACAATTGTTTTCCCCCTAATATTTAACCATTGACTATAGCCATTCAACATTACAGTATAATTGAGAGCTATCAATTTTAACGTTTACTAGACTTTTAAAAAATAACTTCTAATTTAAGTAAACTTAAGTAAACAAACTTCACATAAACCCATTATAATAAATGTCATATTAGGCCTACCTGTGCCCTTCAGCAGAAATATACAGAAATTGAAATTAAAGTTATCAATCACTAAATTCTAAATTAAATATAGATTAATCTTAAAAGCTATATAAAAAGTTATTGATTTCCTCTTTTTTCTTCTTTTTTTCTTGACGAACAGACATCACAGCAGCTGGTTATTAGGTTGTTTTATCTTTAAGAGCTGCCGCTGCTGAACATGACGCGGATCTGACACACATTGTATTTTCTCAAAGTACTCTTTACCGTTTCTGACTCAATTCAGGTCTTAAAATCTGAACTGACGAGTTGAATCGAGTGTGTTAGATGAGGGAGACAGTGCTGGGCTTCTCCAGGACATTTTTAAAAACCATTTCAGAGACATGTGACTCTAAATGTGACTCATATAAAATATATTACATGCATGCACAGTTTTAAGGCAGCTTTAATCGCCTTTTTGGTAACTTCATGACTTAGCTGACCACGACATTGCATGCACTTAGATTATTTCACTCTTTGATATGAAATGATAAATGCTACAGCACGCGCCGGTGTCTTTGTGCGTGCAATTAAAGCGCACGCGCTCAGAGAACAGTACTGTTTCCGCGCTCGTTTGACTCGTGTGAAGTTGAAGTTGAAGCGCGACTCTGAAACGTCTCCAGTTTGATGTGATCGTAAAGACGTTCTGCGACTGAATAAATGCACTTCTTGTCAAGAGAAAAGTTACAGAAACAGCAGTTGTGAGTGGAGTGGCGAACCCTGGCCCCGCCCCGCGTTAATTGCGTTAAATATTTTTAACGTGTTAAACTGAAAAAATTAATCGTCTGCGATTAACGTGCTAATTTTGACAGCACTATTGTAAATATTAAAAAAATTTGATTTTGATGGCTGCTACACACTGCAAAAACGTTGGGACAGGGCCAAAATAAAAGAGAAAATCTTACAGAATATCCAAAATAAACTGTTTTCAAACAGTTCACAGTAAGCAGGTGAATTGGTAATAGGGGTATCATGTTTGGGTATAAAAGGAGCATCTTCTCTTTGTACTCTTTTGTTCTCTTTGTAAAAAATTCTTTGTACTTTAGTCAATTAAATAAACGCTAAAGAGAATGAACAAATAACATATTCTTGATTTTATGGCATTTCAAAAAACTTCCTAACATTTCTGGAATTGGGGTTGTATTCGGGGTTCAGAGTTTTTTTCATATTCATTTTACATGTATAGTTCAAATATGTGGTCTTGTTTCATTAATACACTGAATATTTTTTTTTTCTTTTTCCCCTGAAAGAATGAAAGTGAAATGTGACAACATGCCCCATAGGTGGACCACATTGTAACATGTGAGGGGCATGTTGTAACATGAACAAATAACAGCTTAAAATGTTTTCTGATCTAATAAAAAAATATATATGTTCAAGGCAAACTAAAACATTTTGTAATTTATGGTAAATACAAAAATATATATATATTTTTTTACTTTTTTCATATAAAATAACAGCATTATTTAAAAATAAAAAACAACTAATTTTGGAGTTTGAAAACAAACACACCATAAAACACAGCTATACAGCATAGTTCAAAACATTGTGGGCAAATGGATAGAAACATTTAGATATTCAGAAAAACACAGAGTTGAATACAACACACCCCTCCCTTCACACACAACAGAAGACAAATAGACAAGCCAGTACAAATGCTTTATATTTCTTAAAATAATAAATTCTGAACTTTCAGGTTCTTCCTCTCAGTCTTTCTTCACCTGTTTATGATGGTTTCTCAATAGCATTCATGAAAGTAACAGTACAGTTATGTCGCTACCTTCATAGAATAACAGTTCTAATAGCGAGGCATGTTTTAACAGTGTTACAGTGTGCCCCACCTGCACAACTGGCATTTAAATCTAATGTAAATTTTATCTAAACTTCTAACGGTTTGTAATTTAAAACAATAGCAGATTTGTCTCATTTTAGATAAACGCCAAAAATTAGGATGTAACATTTTAATTTACTTTTGCTACAATTAAATGTTCAGTGATATCTTCCAAAGATTAGTGCATTTTTCTCTGTATAGTGTTGATATGGCAACTAGTAAATACATGGTTTTATTTTTCTAGCATGTGTGGAAAATTTTAAACAATGTGTGTTACAACTAGCCATGCTTTAGGTTGTGCCCTGCTCTCCCCTGTTTCTTTATTAAGGTGTTTGACCACCATTCGCTTTTAATACAGCTTCTAACCTTCTTAGAATAGATTCATACAACTTTTGAATCGTCTTCAGTGGAAAGTCGTCTATCAAAACATCTGCAAGTTGTTTCATTGTTTACCGATGTCCTTACTACGATTCTGTGCTTTGATCGTGATCGTATCCTTGCTTTCTATGGAGGATCAGAGAGCTCTCAGATTTAATCAAAAATATCTTAATTTGTGTTCCGAAGATTTGTGTTTGGAATGACATGAGAGTGAGTAATTAATGACAGAATTTTCATTTTTGTGTGAACTAACCCTTTAAAGTGATCCAGTATATGGAGTTAATAAAGTAAGCAGGTGCAGATCGCTATATTTTGGTATGTGGCTTATTTGCAAGATAACGGAAATAAGCCTTTCTTTCTATCAAGATCTGGCTACACTGAGTCAAAACGTATCCTTGTGATTTCTTGCACCGCACATACAGAAGACACAACTCTGATACATGTTTGAATAAGTCTAGTTGTTCAGTTCGGTTCCATATACTGCATAGAATTTCACTAGCTGAATTTTTCTATAGTCAGTTTGGTTGTAGAATGTTTTCATTCCCGTAAATTACTGAACCGTGTGAGTACAGAAGAGTTCTAAGCAATAAAATGTGAACTGACAACCAAATTTAGCTGTAGTCTGTATGTGGCCTATATGATTTAGACATGTAAATCATCAGCATTTTAATGACAAAACTTTACATTTGTTTTTACATGTGGAAACCTACTGTAATTCTGGATGCTTCACTTTGCGAGAAAGTTGCTTTAAACAAATAATGTATTATTTTCTAACTCTTTTCTGCTCATTAGATGGAGATGACTACCTGACTGTTGCCCAGTCGCTAAAGCGAGAGTTCGACAGCCCAGAAATCTCTGACCTAAAGTTCCTGGTTGATGGGAAGTGTATTCACGTGCACAAAGCCCTGCTTAAAATCAGGTAAATTAAAACCTGCAATTAAGTAACAACATCTCTAAAGTCTTTTGCGCTGTTTTTAGCCCTATTTTGTGTATAAGAAGTAAAACCTTTTCCTCAGTTATGTAAACAGCATCTGAAAATAGTCTGTGAATTATCAACAACAGATTGGGGTTTTCCCCACCGGTGTCATTCCCATGTTTAATTCAAATTTTGGCAGCTGAACTCTTTTGACATGAACATGTGCAGACACATTCTTGATCGTGTATAAACGCACTATTGCATAAGTATTACTCTTTGTGTGTCTAAAGTCACTATGTTAATATTATGAAACATATTTTTCTGTATCTTATTAGAGCAAAGTTTTACCCTTCCTTTTTCCCAAGGAGATTTAGGGGCGCAATGATAATTTGGGGTTAGGGTTAGTAAAATAGGGGGAATCAAGGAGACATTTACAAGCAAAATGGTATTATTTATTAGAATATAAATAGTGCAATTTTTTTTATATTTCCTCTTCAAAATGTTTTCAAAAACCTCTTCAAAAACCTTGAAGTGCATCTGAGATTTTTTTATTTTAAATGAGCATTTTTTATCAGGCTTCCTATGGCTCTTTTATTCTCACTGGTCTACAGATGAAATGTTAGCTACACTATTTCAACAAGGTAATTTCCTTGTAACAGGTTTGAAATCATATGGACATTTATTCACTTCAGTGATAATAAAGCAAGCCCAGACAACGATACTGACAAGGCTGTATAAAGTCTGCCCTGTTTTAGATCATGTTGTGCCCAAATTCCATGAAATGTTTCAACCTAACACAAACATTTGCACTGACATGGGTATGCTTCTCTTGCATGGGCACCTAGCTTTCTGGGTGTACAAAAAAAATAATAAAAATCAAATATGGCATAAAATCTTACATCTTGGCCAATTTTGAGACTGTGGAGAAAGTGCTGGGAGACATGGTTGTCTCTCTTCTTGATCCGGTCATGACTACAGATTGCTCCGCTTTTACAATTCTGTACCACTGTCTGAGAGCCTTCTTGATCTGAAGACCCACGCCTGTGGTATAATTAGGAAATTAGAAAAACAGGTGAACCACCAGTCATTCCAGTCATAATAAAATGCTGGGCTTAGGATTGGGGAAACAATCATTCGGCACACTGAAAATGTGATGGTCTTGACGTTGAAGGACAAACAAACAATGAAAATGGTTACAAATTACATTTGCAACACTCTCTTCTCATTCATTCTGAGTGTTGTAAAATCATGGACCAGCCAATGCTGGTGGTGAGGAAGGAAGAGAATGACCCTCCAACTCAAAAGACTCCTAGAGCACTAATGCACTTGTTGTAATCCTGTTGATTCCTAAAAAGCAACACCCAACCAAATGCAGGAGCATGTATATGGAAGCATATGTGTAGCAAAATTCATTTTGAAATGTAATATGCGAAATGACAATGTAATATGTAAAATGGCAATGTATTTCTGTATTTAAATTTACATTTTCCCATACATATGTGCAACATTTAGTGCAAAATGAAAATGAAAATTCAATTATATAATTTACATTTGCCATTTCCTGCACTAGTTTTAATGTGTAAATTAAAAACATATTTTAACGCTTTATTAGTTGCAAAATTAAAATTAAATTGTATTACACAAATTGATTAGATATGTTTAACATGTCCAAGCAAAAACTGTAGCAAAATTATCTTTTAAATGCCATTTTCCCTAAATGCATTTAGACTTACCGGTAGGACACTTGGGATTGCATTTTCATTGTGATACCGCGTGATAATTGTAGCAAAATGCAGTGTGAATTTCAAAATGCAGAGCCAATTCTGAGCCAAATGTGCAGCAAAATGTTGCAAAAATGGTGATTTAAATGTCTTTGATTTTTCTTAAATGCATTGACACTTACACTTAGGGTAATATGATCATATTTTATTGACCTGGTAAGGACTCTAGCTGCTGCATTTTGGACTACGCTTCAATTGCATTTTCATTAAATACCCCGTGATAATGTATCATCATCATGTATGTCATGCATCATGTATACATCAAGGCGGGGCTCGGCAACAAGACGCACAATAGAGTGGTGGAACTATTATGTCACTTTGTAGGCAAACAAAGCGAGTTAGCATTTTAGCACTTCCGGTTCCATCGTTCCAGAGTCAATGGGTTTTTTGAATGGGAGTTTGGTTAAATCCTCTAAAATAAGGTCCGTGGTTCACACAAGCTCAACTTTCACATTTTATTCTACGACATAAAACACACCAGTTACACCCCACTCGTGATTTTTTTAAACGGTTACCTTTCTTAAAAAAGACAGTTGCTAACAAGTTGCTAAATGGGACTACAGGCGCTGTCGGAGGCATTAAATGTCATCACGCCGAACAGTTTATCAATTACAGTATTTTCCAATCGTGGTGTTTAATTTAGTACAATTAATTGTAGAATAACCAATTAATAGTTTACCACATTTTATATTGTTGTTCGACAATGTTTTTTTTTTTGCTTTGCCCCCAAATGCAACACAAGTCTTCGGATGGAAGATGCTCGTTTTATCGCTTTACTGATGCGGAGACTCTGGGTTTGTACCATAAGGTAAACTCATATGATTATTCCATGTAAACACCACATTTACCGGCTTAGTCACGGTGAAAGTGAAACTTTAACGATGCATAGTGCTTAAAGCCACATTAAATTGAAATGTTTACGGCCACATGAAGCTGTTACGAAGCATATAGGTTGAGGATTTTCTAGAAGCAAGGATAAAATAACATTTTGTGCACCCACCCTAACAAAACGATAGCTGAAATGTGGTACTTTATTCACTAAAATAAGTTTAATCTTACCATATCCAAAAACTCGCTCACTCTGCTGTTATTTAATAGATTAAATGCACTAGAATTTTATTGAATAGTACATGGAGACACGTTTTTAATTAAAATATTCATATTAATCAAGGATTTATTGACTTTTAATGCACCTTATTTCAAAATGTACAGAAATACGTGCTTTCATATGTCTTTTAGTTATGATTATTTCATTTATTCACTGTACTATTTATTACTTATGTCTCATTTAAGTATTAGTTTGGCTCTAGTTTTATATTTATTCCAGTTTAAATGAAAAGGTTAATGTAGCGTGGATTAAAATTCATATACAGACTAAATCCTTTTCACTGAACGTGTTAAAAATAAGTTTGAAAAGTTGTCGGGAACATGGTGGTGGTGACGTTGAAGGCGAGCGACCGTGGTGCTGTAGTTCGTTTAGCCTTTAAGTTCTGACGCTTTTATTTAGGCATCAAAATTCATAAAAGTTATATTATTTTGTGAAGATAATCTTGATGGACAAAACGTGTAAGTTTCATGAACTATGTTTGAACACCGAGCTTATTTTTTGCGATAATCCAAAAGCCTATGGAAAAATCCTATTGGCTTTTTGTCGAGGGAATCAGTGTGATGCTAACAGCCGATCGGCCTACAAAGTGATGTCATAGTTCCCCCACTCTATAGGTCAATATTCACCATTAACCAAACGCTTTTCACCTGCCACAACATCTCTCACTGTTTACACTCCGATTGATGCACATAAGCAAACAGATTAGCCAATTCGGCTTCCACGTACGACAGCCACCATACCTTATTAAACACCGTTT